TTGCATTACGAACCCATAGTTCGTAAGCAATTTACAGTGTACCAAAACTGATCCGTCCTTTGTCGCAGTCGCTAAAAAGATACACCCTTTCTGCTCCGACCCAAAACAGATACGCCCATTCTGTCGGGAAACGTCAACATGGACGCTAATTTTGCCGTCGGTGCCAGTGCGCACACTCTCCAGATACATGCCCATCAGAGCCTCCATCTGGACGTTGTGCACTTTTGCCAAAACCGATGGGTATGGGACTGTCAACAAAACTGCTAGCTGCTCTAAAAAAGCTGCTAGTGGTTGACCAGGGTTTTTTGCAAATTTCGAGATAAAAGTATTCGAAAAAAATCCCATAGCTGAAATACGAAAGTATATGAAATTTGTTTGGCCAATTTTCGTGCATTGTGAGTTTTTCAAGTACTTTTATTTTTAAATATGATACAGCCCGAAGTCAACCACTAGCGGCATCGTTTAAAACACGCTAACAATTTCTTTGACAGCCGCAGTCCCATCCGTTGATGGTGACAATCGTGCACACCGGAAGGAACTGCGCCGTTCGAAGTGAAGGCGAAGATCGGCATGTTCTTGGAGAGTGTGAGCACCGGCACCAACGGCGAAAGTAGCGTCTATCTTCGCTCTTAATACACCTTTAACCCGCAATCGATACCGCGTATAGTTATTATGAAGCGATGATTTCATATGTCTGCCCCCTTAAGGAAACAAAAAAAAATCCATCATCCAAAAAAAAAATTATTGCCTCAATTTGTTTTTATTATTCCTCTTTCTTATGTCGCAAAGCGGATGTTAAAATCCGAAAAATTGCGCTCAGAGGAGCCCAAAACGTGCTGCAGGCGGCTGGGTGGCTGGACCGCTCGGAATCGCGCGGGCTCGCGCCGAGGGGGCACTAACTCAAAAATTTTGTGCACCGCTCATAGACTCTAATGGTGAATAGCACTAAATAATCACTGGATATTGCCTGAATACTGGAGGTTTCAATTCCCTCGTGAACCGTGAATGTGAATACTAGAAGTTACTGCCCCCTCGGCTCGCGCCTGGCAGGACATGCTACTCGACAAGGAGGGGCTCCTCTAGAACCTCGGAATCTTTTAGTATTGGCAATTTGAACCATGCCGCACTGTCGGCAGTGAAAGTTTATCGCCACGTGTTGACAATGAAGCCTTCAACCCCAGATTATTGGCGATGAGCCGTCAATTCCGATATTGTGGCGATGAACCTTCTCTGCCAGCAGTTCGGGCGAGTTTAAACTGCTTAGTATTACTTAGAACAATATTATTTCCGTACATTGCCAAAATTGGCAATGAATACTGCGTTTGCAATAGCAATGACCAACTCTTTGTTTTATTTTTGTCTCATTGCCGTTGGCCTGGCATTGCTACAACAGGCAGTCCTTCCATTCTCTTGGGAGAAACAGAAGAGCACACGAAGGGGAATCTTCTTAGTAAATATTTTGCCGAGGGGGAAACGACTAAAGTACTACGGCTGACAGCCGTTAGATTATCCCGCAGGTGTTATCCAAGGAACTGCGAAGTCCGGAGGTAATACGGAGAATTTCTAGATAGAAAGCAACGTAAAACAGATGATACACCAGGGATGATCCAGTGATCCATCTTCCAAAGCTTAACAGTCGTTTCCCCCTCGTATTTTGAGCAAAAATAAGGTTATTACCTGCGAAACAAGCACTACGGCCAATGTGACGTGTGGATAGGACCATGTGTCCGGGTGTGGCCACGTCGGAAAGGGTAGACCACCACTGGCGAGTGGGCTGAGAAGAGTGAAGGCCACCAAGAAAGAGTAAATGGTGAAAAACCGCTGGAGCATCATGCATCGCCTAGCCACGCGTGTCAGACCCTTCTGTTAAAAAGAAATGAGGGTGATACTCAGCAAACCGGCCATTTACGTTCCGCGGCCCTTTATAGATATGTGATGTGGGTCTAAAATGGTTTTATAACACCTAGATACTAAGAAGCATTAACAATATTTGGTGCAATGCTAAAAGCCTCCGAGGTCTGCAATAGTTAGTGACTACAGCAAGTTTAAAGGGTCGTAATGTGAACTCGGATCGGGTACGTCCCTCCCTTATGCATAATCATTTTGCCAATTTACGGACAGTTTTAAGGGAGTATTTTGCCCTGGCGCATCAAGTACTCAATGACATTCCATCAGGAGACGACAGAAACGTTCCCGAGCCCAAATAATTGTTCACTTTAAGGTTCCCGAGGGGGTGATCACTACAGAAACTAGGTGTACACATTTCTATAAAAGTTAAAGTGAAAGTGACATAAAGTTGACTGAAAGTGACAAAACTGAAAGAAAATGAGGACAAAAGTGACTAATCGTGCGTTGATTAGATCAAAAATAAATCAAAGAGAGGGAATATAGGCAAGGATATGTAGTAAACGTTGTAAAACGGTTTAAAAGTCATGCGTAAATTAAGAAAAGTGAATGAAAGTGGGGAAGTGAAAAGTTGAGGTGTACGCATTTTCGCGAAGTGATTACCCCCTCGAAGGTTGCTTTTAGTTTGCTATCGGTGCGCGGAGGGTCGCGCAAGGTACGCCAATTGGTCGTCAGGGTTCGTCACTGCCCGCGTGGAGGACTGACCTCGGTTTGTCATCGGGTCGCTCTGTGCCCTCTTGAGCGACGCGAGAACACATTTGGGTCGTCATATTCGCTCTGAGAGCGACTCGAGTACGGTTTTGGGTAGTCATGTGTGCTCTAATAGCGACTTGAGTACACATTTTGTTTGCCCAGTTGGCCCGGGTTGCCCGTGGCCATCGGGTTTTTTCCTTCCTAGGAAACCCCGGCCGGGCGCTGGCGCTAATCCCTTGACCAGCGCGCTTGCAAGCAGGAAAGGGGCGGCTCCGGGGTACCTGAGGTCACGTCTGCACTGCACACTCTGCGGCTGGAGCCCACGATCTCGTCAGTCTCAGAGGGAGGATGTGTCCAAGCCTCCCGTGCATGCCGTCGGCGACCTACTGCTGCAAAGAAGTTCAACTTTTTGATATGCGACTTGAACTTAACAGTGTTTTAAGCGTTGCACCTAACTAAATTCATTGGCCTCATCTGGAACACTACTCGCTAGCGTGCATAACCAACAAATAGACTCGTAGCTGATATTTATTAGCGAGCAAATGTCCTACACACTAAAAGCTTATGAACATTTTCATGCATAGCTAACTGAGTTCTGTGTACGTGCTCCGCTTACGCATTTTTAATACGCCAGTATGAACAAAATTGTTCATACCGGCGTAATAAAAAATGCGCACGTACACAGAACTCAGCTTTGCATAAAAATGTTCATAAGCTTTTAGTGTGCAGATGAGGCCAATGAATTCAGTTAGGTGAAACGCTTACACTTTTAAGTTCAAGTCACATATCAAATATATGGACTTCTTTGCCGCGGGTGTCTGTGTGTTGCACTGATAAATAAAGCGTTCAACTTGCGTGCAGATGCAAGTGCTCAACACTAATTTGCACACTTTGAAGTAAAATAGAACACTCAAAAGTTTTAACATCAGGAC